GATAAGGACCTGGTTAAAAAATTATGATTTGTCTGTACCATAATAACCTAGAACACTTTTCCAAATTGAAGAAGATTTATAGGGACTGGCATGAAAAAGTCTTCGAAATACATTGTGAAGTAGAAAAATCCCAGTGAAAGAACAATATATAACATGCTACCAAATGCTTTTTAAAAGGGTGTGTGTACATGTATACATCCTCACAGATCACACACGTGGACACTTATATGTGCAGAGAACATCTCTTGAAGGACATACGGAACCCTGGCAATGTGATGGCCACTGGACATGAGAAGTAGAGACTCAGGGTCAGAAATGGGAGGGAGGATTATTTTTTACTATATAAACAAAGATATACAATTTTTAAAAATTTCTAACCTGGTTATTGTAATGCAAATTGATTCTCTTTTTAAAAAACATAAAATTGATACAGCCCCTCCTTTATTTAAACATTCAATTTACTATGTCCTGGGAGCTGACTCAGGCTAGGCATTCTGTCAAAGTGGGGATACAAAGTGACACACTCCTAGCCCTGGAGCTTGGTGGGGAGATGACAAGTCATCATTCGCCACAATCAAGTGAGGTAAAGCAGGCTAGCACAAAACCCAAATCAGAGGTGTTTGGGAGTTAAGAGTGGTGGGTCGGAAGGAAGGGCATTCTTCAAAAAGGGATCAGCATAAGCAAAGGCCAAAAGGCACAAGAGAGCCCAGCACGCAGGAGAGCTGTGACTGGTATACAGGCCGGGCCTGCGGGCGGGTGGGAGGCGGGGCCAGGGCACGGGGGCCTGATGTGCCAGCTAAGACTCTGGATCTCATTCTGAAAATGACAGGAAGTCATTAAGGATCACTGAGCAGGGCAGTGACAGGACCAGAGTGCATTTTAGAAAGGCCACCCACAGCCCATGTGGCAGAGCAGCCAATAAACCAACGAAGAGGCAGCCAGGAGAAAACCCTCAGAGGATCCTGGGAGCAGAGACGGGGCAGGAAGTGGAAGGCCTTGTCCTTTAGATGCGACAACCAATAGGATCCTGTAAACGAGGTCAGGGATAACTGGGAGGCATGGACACAGGGGCGATGGGAGAGGAGGTGTGGACTGACAGAAGGCCAGTGACTCTTGGAATTTTGGAGGTCGTAAGACCAGTGAAATTTTTAGAAATCAAACACAATGAAAATTCAGAACCAAAATAAGATTGCTGACTTTTTAATTTGCCAAGTAAGGATAATTTGTTAAAATTATCATGTTTTAATACCAACATTTCATAAAAGGAGGGGCATTTTAATCCTACCTCAAATAGGAAGGCTTAATCTCTGATAAAAGATGGTCATTTATATGGAATAAACTTAGCCTGATGACAAACTCTTCATCTCACCCTCACTGTCCCCATTTCCTCATGGATTATAAACTCTCACTTCCATTGATGATGCTGGCTTGCTGAGTGTGAACTGTGGTGTAAACCATTTATTTTCAAGCAGGTAAGGAAAGAGATTGGGTAAGAATAAAGTCAAGAGTGTTTGGTTTTTGAAGGAAGAGACTGAGTTGAGAAAGTCAATGTACTGAGAGGAAAAAAATAATTGAAAGATAGATTTCACAATTGGGACTAAATGCAATGTAGTACCCCAGATGGATCCTGAAACAGCAAAAGGATGTGGAGTGGAAAACCTGATGAAATATGAATAAAGTCTGTGGTTTAATTAATGGTATTGCACCAATACTAGCTGCTTTTTTTTTTTTTTTAAGATTGGCACCTGAGCTAACATCTGTTGCCAATCTTCTGTTTATTTTTTTTTCTTCTTCTTCTTCTCCCCAAAGCCCCCCAGTGCATAGTTGTATATTTTTAGTTGTGGGTCCTTCTAGTTGTGGTATATGGGGTGCCACCTCAGTGTGGCCTGACAAGCGGTGCCATGTCCTTGCCCAGCATCCAAACCAGCAATACCCTGGGCCACCGAAGTGGAGTGTGCGAACTTAACCACTCAGCCACGGGGCCGGCCCCTAGTTGCTTACTTTTGATAAATGTCCCAAATTATGTAAGATGTTCCCATTCAGGGACCCGGCTGAAGGGTATATGCACACTCTCTGTATTCTCTTCGCAACACTTTATAAATCTCAAATTATTTATACATAAAAAGTTAAAAACAATAACAACAAAGTGAAGGAGAAAGGAGACAGTGACAGACTGAAGTCCCTCAGGTTAGACCTTGGAGCCAGGTGGCAGGTGGCACTGGCCTTGAATAGGAGAGGAACACCCCCCTCCCTGAGATGAGGGCAAAGGGCTGGACATGGACACAAATAATTTGCTAATAAATTTGTCCCCAGAAGTTTGAAATGGAAGCTTTTCTTTTTGTTAATAAAATAATTTAATAAATGACAGGACAAAACAGGTAAATGAAAATAGTTTATTAATGAAGGAAAAAAACAGGTAAGTGGAACATAGGTAAAATTTAGATTAAAAAAAGAAATGGGGGCCAGCCCCGTGGCCGAGTGGTTAAGTTCACACACTCCGCTTCGGTGGCCCAGGGTTTCCTCGGTTCGGATCCTGGGCGCGGACATGGCACCGCTCATCAAGCCATGCTGAGGAGGCATCCCACATGACCCAACTAGAAGGACCCACAAATAAAAAAATACACAGCTATGTACTGGGGGACTTTGGGAGAAAAAGGAAAAATTAAAAAAATAAAAATCTTTAAAAAAATTTAAAAGAAAAAGAAATGAATGGTTAATATTACATAGAAAAAAGCAGCAGCCTTGGACCATGTTGCATCTTCTAACAATTCTGCTTGGCAAGGATACTGAGGACAGAGATCAGCAACCTAGAAAAGCCTGACGTTAGAGCACTGGGTAAGTGATGGAGGATATTTTCAAGACTGCACTGAAATAATGGCAGGACATTGCGAAGGAGAGTAATCGACAGTGGAAATGAACAAAATCTGGAGAGAAGACAGTTGCTCAATGTAAGGAATAAATGCCACAAGACGCTGCAGTAGCTGCCTTTTCCTATCGACTCCTTCCATTTCTTTTCAGGGACCAACCCAGGCCCCAGCAGAAGCTTTTAATAGATCCCCACTAGTATATTTATTTACTTAAAACAGCTTCTTATCAGCAGCAGGTACAAAATCTTAACTTTAATACATTTTTTTACTGGCGAAAAATATATAATGATTACTCATAATACTTGTTTCTGGCCCTCCATTTTTAGGGGGGAAAAATTAAGTAAAAAAATATATATTGCGGGGAGTGGTTTGAGGAAGATTAGCCCTGAGCTAACATCTGCCACCAATCCTCCTCTTTTTACCGAGGAAGACTGGCCCTGAGCTAACATCTGTGCCCATCTTCCTCTACTTTATATGTGGGATGCCTGCCACAGCATGGCTTGCCAAGCGGTGCCATGTCCACACCCGGGATCCGAACTGGTGAACCCTGGGCCGCCAAAGTGGAACGTTCGAACTTAACCGCTGCGCCACTGAGCCGGCCCCAAAATATATATGTTTTTATACCCTAAAGGGATATATTAACTGGCCAGCCAGGTGTCATAGTGGTTAAGTCTGCACATGCTGCTTTGGCAGCCCAGGGTTCATGGGTTTGGATCCCGGGCATGGACCTACACACCGCTCACCAAGCCACGCTAAGGAGGCATCCCACATACAAAATAGAAGAAGATTGGCACAGATGTTAGCTCAGGAACAGTCTTCCTCACCAAAAAATAAATAGACTCTATTACTCAAAATTAATATGTAGAAATCAAGACATTTTATTGCAGGGGGCCAGCCCCATGGCCAAGTGGTTAAATTCATGCGCTCCACTTGAGCGGCCCAGGGTTTCACGTAGCACAATCAGAGGAACCTACAACTAGAATATACAACTATGTACTAGGGGGCTTTGGGGAGAAGAAGGAAAAAAAAGAAAAAGAAGATTGGCAGCAGATGTTAGCTCAGGTGTCAATCTTTGGGGGAAAAATAAAAGAAAGAAATTTTATTGCATTATTGTGAAAAAATGTTGACTTTTTAGATACTGAGATTATGATTTGAATCATCTTGGCAAATGTTGCATGTTCTTTTATAAATGGACATTGCCCCAGTACATTACAGCTAAATACTGAGTTAGGGTTCTTCGGTTGCAAGCAACAGACTCCAGCTCTGATTAACTTAAGTCAAAAGGGCTTTAATGGAAGGATAATGTGTGTGTTGGAGGAAGACAGGGCTCTAGAATTGAAGGAATAGCTGAAGGGGCAGGAACCAGGGCACCTTCCCGAATCCAGGGAGAGGAACTAACAATGGTTGCATCAAGGCCCTAATGTTGGTTACAGTTAGCTCCAATTGTGTTTTCCATTCTTGCGTTATTCTGTTGAGGATTCAAAGCAGTGAAAGAGAGTCCATTTGGTCAGCTTAGGGCATGGGATAAGATGGGGCACTATGATGAACAGCGCCTCAAAATCACCCATATTTGGAAATAGATCATTCTGCAAAAGGCTTTTTATTGGAAGAAATGAAAATGGGTGGGGGGTAATCACTACCTGCCTTATTCTCTTCTGTTGCCATGCCTCTGCCTGAGCTGTTGCCTTGACCTAGAATGCCCCTTGACCTACAATGTCCCTTGACCTACAATGCCTTTTGTCTTCCAGACCACCTGGCAAACTCCTGTCTTCCCCTTCAAAACCTAAATAAAGTAACCCACTTCTGTAAAGCTAGGCAGAGGAAATCACTTTGCCCTGTCTTTGTACCTTGTACACACATCCCTTGTTGAATGGATCACACTGTATTGTAACGATTTGGATCCATATGGATCTCTCCTATTAGACTGTAAGTTTCTTGAGGGCAGGAGTAATATCTTTTCATCTCTGCTGCTTCCATGCCTAGGATGGTGCCTGTCATAAAGTAAGTATTTAACACATGCTTGCTGAAATAAATGCAAATAATAAACCACCACTATATTTAAAAAGAAGAAAGAAACAACTTTGAGAAAGCGCAGGGAAAATTCTTTAAAGGTTCAAAATACTTGACTGTTACCTTTGCAAATCTGTGTGACGTTTGAGAAAGCCTGGAAATATCTTCAAGATCCAGATAAGAAATGATACTCAGGAGCAAATTGTCTGAGAGCCGCTCAAGGAAGTCAAATTTACCTTCACATAAATTGAAGACATAGTCTAATATTCTCGTGCCAAATATTAAGGCAACTTGCACTGTAATTCAAAGACACCAACAGATCAACATGGTTATCATGCACAGTCACATAAAAACTATGATCATTATCAGTAAGACACAAGCTTTGGGACATTTTTCCCCCTGGGAGTGATGTTAGATTATGCTGAGTCATTCCTACCCTCACCGAGCTGCCTTTGGGACCGATGGCAGGCATTTGTTTTCAATTGCTGTCGCTGCCTTGAGATCAGAATCTCCTAGGGACACTGACTGTTTAACACAGTGACAGACTACACCAAATTCCAGTCCAGAAAATCGACTTAACTAGTCTCGGTGTCACCCTCATCCTCATCCTCCCAATCTCCCCAACTGGGCAAAGACGCTGGTCCATGTGGTTTTTCTACCACCCTCTCCTCTCCCCAGATTGATGTGAAACACATTAATATCTCTTAATTTTAGTTGATTTTTGTTCTCTTATTGTGATACATTCTCTACCAAACTTCCTTTCTTCCTCTTTACCTTCTTTCCTCCCAATCTTTACATAATAGAAAAAAATAGGAAGAGGCAAAAAGAAAAACAGATAAATAGTTCATGAAAAGTGTGTTAACTTTTGCTTAATATTTTTCATATCTTTTCAGTTATTTCCAAACTAGGAAATAATTCACAAAGAATCAACCAATGTAATGGTCTATCTAAACATGTTCAATGTAGGAAAAAAACCAAAGTTTGTTTGTTTGTTTTACCCTAGCTCCCTGAATAACCAAGAAATGGCTAATAAACAGGAAAACAAGTTTGGAAGGATACATATTCAAATTTTAAGGGTGGTTAAATCTGGGCGGTAACTTTCATTTTCTTCCTTTAGCTTATCTGTATTTTCTAATCTTTCCACAATAAACCTGTATTACTAGTGTAATTTTTTAAAATCAGGAAGGAAGGAAGGAAGGAAAGAAGGCTACCTCCTTCTATCAGACAGGCAAAAGGGGTGATGATGGAGCATGCCTGTGGACTCCAGTCGCCCCAAATCTGGGGACTTTCTCAGTTTCTTGAAGCTCATTTTTTCCCTTCTGACTCTGAAAGCACCATCATAGCTAGGCTTTCCAAAGAACTTCTCTTAGAAGAGACAGTGTGTACTCTCTACAGGGGACTAAACATCCAAGATTTGGGGACCAGCTTCATTCCTTCTGGAGTAAGTGGGATGGAGCTGTCAAGAGCACCGGGCCCCTGCACAAGCCAGCAGAACTGTGATGCTAGAGGTTGATGGATCTCTGATTTTAGAATGGATGGAAGGCATGGGCTATGTTTATGTAAAAGCTTCAGTTGTGCTAACTTGGAAGAGCCAGCTGTATAAGATTTCTCTCCAAAACTGGTTAATCCAGCTTTCTAGAGGCATTCAGGGTTTTGGTTGCTTCTAAATTCCAAGTGCTTCCAATTCAAAACACTTTTAAAGTCCAAGAATCTTCTTTGGGGGAAAAATACCCCTGTCAAAAACCCAACCTTAAAGGGTAGGTATTATGGAGAACGCCTAGTCCCCCAGCAGCAGCAGCAGCAGCAGAAGTGCTTATTTCTTGAAAGAAAAAAAAAAAGCCTTAGAATAAAAATCCCTTAATACAATTGGAGCTGTTTGAACATTTTTAAATGCCAGGAATACACACTCAAAGCATGCTCAGATGTACTTCAGGAAGTCTCTACCAATAAAATCTTTAAAATGTAAAAATTATAAAAGAACATATACATCTAAGGTAGGTAACGTGATAGTTTCAAGGTTTACAAATATTGGGGTATTTAGAAAAAAACTTTTGCTTGTTTCTGTTTTTTATGTAAACAACATTTATTGCTTTTTGAAATAAAGGGGAAAAAATGTTAAACTCTATTTTAAAAAGTAAAATCACTGCCTTCATGTTGGACTACGAGGCAGCCAGCCTCCAAGATGGCTCCTGATTCTTTCCTCCTGGATTCATGCTCCTGTGTGTTCCCATCCCACACTGAATTAGGGCTGACTCCTGTAACCAATAGGATGCTGCAGAAATATTCCAAGGCTAGGTCATAAAAGACATTGGGGCTTCTGTCTTGCTCTCTTGGATCACTCACTCTGGGAAAAGCCAACTGGCATGTTGTAACAATACTCAGCAGCACTATAGAGAGGTCCATGGGGAAAGAAATTGAAACCTGCTGCACAAAACCACAACTGACTTGTCGGCCATGTGTATGAGCCATTGCGGAGCTGGGTCCTCCAGCCCCAGTCTGGCCTTCAGATGACGGGGCTCCATGCAACACCACGCGAGACCCTGAGTCACAAGAACTCAGCTAAGTTGCTCCCAAATTCCGCATCCAGAGAAACTCTTTGAGTTAACAAACATTTTTTATTGTTTTAGCCATTAAGTTTGGGGGTAATTTGTTACATAACAATAGATAATAAGAGTTTGAGTACCTTCAAGGGTTGTGGTGCCATAATGGAAAGATAACACATGGGAGGGGCCTTGAAATTGGAAAGTACGTGAAAATCTGAATGAGTGTGAGGAGGGTGCTAGTGTGAGCCTGAAGAGTCCTCAATGAATAGTATAATAAGTAAATAAATACCTGCCATAGAAGCCTGACAGGCTCCCAGGAGGCTTTACGGAGGTGAGGGCTTAAAGAAAAGTGAGAAAAATATTCCTAAAAACTGGGGGAAAGGGAGAAAAAACTGGAAAAAAGGGGATCCTTGTTATATAGCAGCAGAAAGTTTAGCAACATTATTGCCTACTGTACTATGAAAGTAGGAAATACACCCAGCGGGCAGGTGTGTGATTTAGTTAAGGAGATTTCCAAGCAGAGTGTTGAACGTGCTGCCTGATTTCTTCTTGCTGCTTAAAGTAAAGCATGAGTGGAAAAACATAAGCTAAAGGAAGGTCTCTTAAAAAGAAGCCAGGATTTGCCAGTTTTGAATATTCTCTGCCTCTTCACATGGCAAACAATGCCAAAATTAAGAAATGAGGGGCCGGCCTAGTGGTGCAGTGGTTAAGTTCACATGCTCTGCTTTGGCGGCCTGGGGTTTGTGGGTTTGGATCTTGGGTGCAGACCTACACACTGGTCATCAAGCCATGCTGTGGAGGCATCCCACATACAAAATAGAGGAAGGTGGGCACAGAGGTTCGCTTAGGGACAATCTTCCTCACCAAAAAAGAAAAGAAAAGAAACAACTCCCAGGCAAAGATCAAATCCAGCACAATGTCAGGAAAACATGGTATAAAGATGGTGTGGAGAGTACGCTGTAAAATGCTTTGTTAAGAACCACTCAGTCAAATTTTAGAACTTCCAAGAAGCTTAAGGGTATGGTCACTCAGGAGTCAAGGGCAGAAACCCAAGGTAGAGAAGAGCTTATCTCAAAAAGATGTGTACGGGGCTGGCCCCGTGGCCGAGTGGTTAAGTTTGCACACTCTGCTGCAGGCGGCCCAGTGTTTCGTCGGTTCAAATCCTGGGCGCGGACATGGCACTGCTCATCAAACCACGCTGAGGCAGCTTCCCACATGCCACAACTAGAAGGACCCACAACGAAGAATATACAACTATGTACTGGGGGGCTTTGGTGAGAAAAAGGAAAAAAATAAAATCTTTTAAAAAAAAAGATGCGTAGGTGTGGTTTTGTCTAATGGACTGAACCTCAATAAGAATAACAGACAACACGTGAAGTTTTTAAGAGAATTATATCAGAGGAAACACTACCTGCCAGCTGGAACTGAAAGGGTCAGAGGCAGTACAAGAGGAAAAGAAGACTCTGGACCCCCAAACTTCTACAAGCAGGAAGCAGGCTGAGAAAACTATGCCTGCAAACACGGACTACCTTTTGCCAAAAAGAAAGGATGACTCAGAGGATGGAGCCAAGGGTGCAGAGGCGGAGCCAAGAGCCGTGAAGAATCTAGTGCTAGGCCTTGAGCTCTCATCAAGAACTAATAACCTATGCCTTGCTGGATTTCAGAATTTTTATGGACCAGTGACTCCAGCGGGGGCTCCCATTTCCCCACTGTTTTAAGAGAAGGGTATACAGTGGCTCTCTCATGCCTTTCCGTATTGGGTGGGAGAGGGGCAGAAAACTTGTCTCATTCACAGGCTTCAGATCCAGAGGGACCATCCTTGAGAAGCAGTACTTAAGCATTACACCTGAGGATCCCCACCCACACATGGACCTGATTTACGTGATGAGATTCTGAACTACTAAAGACATCCTTCAGGATCCCAGGATGATCCGAGGATGGAGTAACTTTGGAAGATATATTAATATCATTCACTCTATTAACAGATAACAAGAAAAAAAATGATCATCTCAAAAGTGTAGAAAAATTATTTTAAATAATTTTAACACCTATTTATGAATAGAAACTCTTAGAAAACTAATAATAAAATGGAACTACTTTAACCTGATAACCTGATATACACTAGTTACCAAAAATCCAGTATTCAATATATGCCAGGGACTGCTCCAATATGTATATATACAGTATGTGTGTATCCCTATATATATATATATATATATACTATGTATATATATGTAGATATATATATATGTAGTCATTTCATCCTCACAATAACTGTGAGATGGGTACTGTTATTATTCCCTTCTTGCTCTCTCTCTTTTTTCTTTTTTTGCTAAGGAAGATTTGCCATGAGCTAACATCCGTTGCAAATCCTCCTCTTTTTGTATGTGACCCACCACCATAGCATGGTCACTGATGAGTGCTGTAGGTCCATGCCTGGGAACTGAACCTGGGCTGCCCAAAGCAGAGCAGGTAGAACTTAACCACTAATCCACCAGGGCTGACCCTATTATTCCCTTCTTAAAGAGAGAAAGATGAGGAACAGAGAGGTTAAGTGACTTGCCCAAAGTCACACAGTGAGAAAGGTCATGTAGTGAGAGCTAAGATTGAACCAAGCAGTTTGCTCCATACTGCATCTCCTAATCATATTATATGGCCTTTAATGTCAGGTGTAAGACTAGAATGCCCAATCTCACCATTTCTATCAACATTGTTTTGGAGGCCAAAAAAAAAAAAAAAGAAAGATGTAAAAA